AGACCACACCTAGACACTGCTGAATACAGTTCAGATTTTCTTCTAGTTCTTTTTTCCCTTAAGATGTATCCCAAATAGGGGCGCCTGGGTGGCTCAGATGGTTAAGCGTCTTCCTTCGGCTCAGGTCATGATCCCAGGGTCCTGGGGTCGAGCCCCGCATCGGGTTCCCTGCTCGGCAGGAAGCCCGCTTCTCCCTCTCCCTCTCCCCCTCTCCCTGCTTGTGTTCCCTCTCTTGCTGTGTCTCTCTCTGTCAAATAAATAAAATCTTAAAAAAAAAAGATGTATCCCAAATAGGTATGTATAATGAAAATTCCATGTTTTCGAGACACTTGAAATACTTTTTTGCACAGTTAAGCCAAAACTGTTATATGGTTATGTTCATTTGTTTCTGTTTGTTTTTGACTCTTAGGGATTGCTTTGGTCTCCTTTTTGATTTTTTTAAGTATAGAAAACTTTTTTTTTAAAGATTTTATTTATTTATTTGAGATAGAGAGAGAGAGCACAAGCAGGGGGAACGGCAGGCAGAGGGAGAGGCAGGCTCCCCAAGGAGCAGGGAGCCCGACGCGGGGCTCGATCCCAGGACCCTGGATCATGACCTGAGCCAAAGACAGTCGCCCAACCAACTGAGCCACCCAGGCGCCCTAGGAAACGTTTTTCATGAAACAATACTTGTATATTTATTTCCTCCTGTTTCTTATACAAATATTATTACATATTGTGGATGTATCCTTACATCCTGGCGACACTCCCTTTATCCACCTGCATAGTGCTCCGAGAGGCGGGCCTAGCAGAGCTGACTCAACCGAGCCTGAGTGGTGGGTGGTGGCTGGTTTCCAGTCGTTTGTTATTACTGAGAAGTTCCTACTCTTGACAGGTCTGGGAGACTCCCTCCTTCCCTCTCTCCTTCATTACTTCAACACATGCAGAGTGCTAGCCGTGTACCAAACACTGGGCCAGGCTCCCTGGATGTCATGATTACGATGGAGACTGCTGGTTGCTTCCCCTCCATCTGGTCGCCCATTCTTCTCTGGTGACAGATTCTTAGCTAGGCCCATGCCTGCCTGAATTAAAGCTGTACTCCTGAGCCTCCTTCGCAGCTAGTTGCAGCCAAATGACCAGTTCTGGCCAGTGAGATTTGCCTGGAAGCACCTTGTATAGCACCTTCTGGGAAACTCCTTTCAGAGATGCTGGTATTCTCCTTGTTCCTCTTGTTCACTCTTTCCTCTATTCCCCGCCTCATCTTTGTTCTGATGTGATGGCTGGAGCTCTAGCTGCCATCTTGGATCAAGGCAGTAAAGGCCACACCCTAGAGATTAGTGAGTTGGAATGATCTGGAAGGACCTTTGAACCCTAATGATTTTGTGGAATATCCATTCTAGCCCTGAACGTTTTACCTCTGGACTTCGTTAATGCACAAGACAAATAAATGTCTTCTTTGGTTAAGCCACCATTATTATTGGTTTTTTCTCATGTGTACCCCTAAACCTAATTCTAATGGACAGAGGAAAAAACAAAACAGATAAGGTCTCTGATATTACCTAGTCGGGGGACAGCCATTTAATGACACATCTAATAGGTAAGTGTGTAATTATTGTTGCAAAAATATCTATGAAAGAAAACTACCAGACCACCCTTTAACAACAACAACAACAACAACAACAAACCAAGACTGAGAGAAAGATTCATCTTAGATGAACATATCCAGAATGTTGCAATCAGAAAACCAAGAAGGAAAGTGTTTTTATGTTAGTGTGCATGTAAGTTTTGTGACATTTCAAAAGATACAAGTTGATTTGTTTCCTTCGGTATTATAAACTAGATGCTCTGAGTGGCCATTCTGATAAAAATAACCAAAATTCCTGAAGAAAAGATGTTAAAATCATCTTTTTAAATGTACCAATGAGATGGTGAAAAAGTTAGGAATCCCAGAGTCCAAAAATTAAGTCAAGACAGGAACCCAGGGAGGTAAATAGAACACTGAGGCCAACTTTCACCCTGAGGGCATTTGTGGACCCTGGTGACCTTCAGCTTCAGTTTTCATGGCCTCATGGACTGTGCGGACAGGCCACAAAGCCCAAGTCTTGCAAAATAGGAAACCTTCATCCACCTCCCCCCACTGCATGAAGGTGGGACATAAAAGGTTAAGTCATCGTTGGAGAGGTGAACTAGAGACATTGACCACCACCTCTTTGTCCACTAGACTACAAGGAGAGTGGCTTATTTCCAAACCTGGCGTGAGAGGGAGGGGAGAATATCTGCTCTGCACATTTGTGCTCACAAGCGAGCACCACGTGGATTTGCAGCTAGAATTTGAATACCTGGGTAGTCTGTAAAGTCCTCAAACTGAGAATTTAGTTTAAAATGGTTCTGGGTTGGAGTGCCTCCAGAAAATCACCAGAAGTCCATGCAAATGCTCTCTGAAGGAATCCCCCTTCAATCTAGGTTTCAAGGCGTTCCCACTATGAAGTTCCAAGTCAGAAAATCTAAACACACAAGGGAAGAATGGGGGACACCTGGGTGGCTCAATCGGTGAAGCGTCTGCCTTCAGCTCAGGTCACAATCCTGGAGTCCCGGGATTGAGTCCCACGTCGGGCTCCCTGCTCAGTGGTGTGTCTGCTTCTCCCTCTCCCTCACTCGTGCTCTCTCTATCTCTCTCTCTTGCCTGCTCACTCTCTCTCTAAAATAAATAAACTCCTAAAAAAAAAAAGTGAAAAAGGGAACAGAGCCCCATGAGGGACTGACAACTGAATAATTCACCAGAGACTTCAAATGGTGGGCTTATCAGACACAGAGGATAAAATAAGCATGTTTAATATGTTCAGAGAAATAAAAGAAGATTGAAAATATAATAAAGGGCAGAATTCTATAAAAACAACCAAATATATATGAAAAAACAAATAATATTTATAAAAGTGAAAAATAAAATAGAGTTTAAAAATTCAGTGGAGGACTTCCATTTCTGGTAATGACAAATTAGTTAATTCATGCCTACTTCCTGATGAAGGCACCTTAGAAAAGCTGGAAAAATAGAAAAGTCACTTACCTGAAGGCATCCAGAGAAAAAAGAGGATGCAGAATTTCCAGGCCAGGATGCAGAGAAGAACAGGAACTGAGGAAGGTGAAACCAGTGTTTGGAGCTGATTGTCCTCTGAGTGTCTCTGCAGAGTCTAGAATGGGTGGGTTGGAGATGGTAGAGGGCTATTGACAGCTACATGGGGCTAGAAGGATTGGCATTAGAACCTAAGACCTGCCAGAGAACCACCCTGGTGAATCTTCCTCGTTTTAGTTGAGACCCTGAAGAGCTGCTCCCTAGGAGTAAGGTGATCCAGAAATAGAGTCTTCTAGCATTTTAGCTAGTTTTTAATTAATTAATTAATTAATTTAAAGATTTTATTTATTAATTTGACAGAGAGAGACACAGTGAGAGAGTGGGAACACAAGCAGGGGGACTGGGAGAGGAAGAAGCAGGCTTCCCGCCGTGCAGGGAGCCCGATGCGGGGCTCAATCCCAGGACCCTGGGACCATGACCTGAGCCGAAGGCAGACGCTTAACGACTGAGCCACCCAGGCGCCCCTTTAGCTAGTTTTTTTTATCCTCTCAATCCCTGAAACTGGATTAGGATGACCCTGGATTGCTCAGAGAAGCCACATTTTGTTCAGAAGCTCACAAAGCCAAGTGGAATAGTCTCTGGAGGAAGATAACATCACCCTCACCCTCAAGTTATTGCTACAAACATTTTTTTTCAATTACAATGTTCAGCAAACAATAAAAACAGGTAGGCATTTGAGGAGAGAAGGCAATAGGAATGAAAACCAACGGAAATAATAGACAATAGAAAAAGACCCACAGTGGCTCCTGATATTGCAATTATCAAGTGTAAACTTTAAAATTACTAAGTACACATGTTCAAAGATATAAATGGCAATATTGATAATTATGGCAGAAGACTAAAACTATAAAAAAGAGCCATTTGAAAATTCTAGAACTAAAAATGACTGTAACCAAAATTAAGAAATGAATGGATGGGCGTAAGTAATAGCAGCATATGTGCAGCTGAAGAGAGTGTTGGACTGGAAGGTAAATCAGAAGAAACTATTCAGAATGAAGTAGGGAGAGACAAAGGGATGGAAAATTTTTTTAAAAAGAGAAGGAGACAGAGAGGATACAGTAAAATGTAATGTATGTGTAAATCAAGTCCCAGAAGACAAGGAAAGAAAAAAATGGGGCCTAAGCAATATTAAAAGACATGATGGGCTCTCTGCTCCTCCCTGTTCGACAGACAGCCGCGAATTCTGGTGCAGTGCCAGCCGCGTCCCTGAGACACGATGGTGAAGGTCGGAGTGAACGGATTTGGCCGTATTGGGCGCCTGGTCACCAGGGCTGCTTTTAACTCTGGCAAAGTGGATATTGTGGCCATCAGTGATCCCTTCATTGACCTCAACTACATGGTCTCCATGTTCCAGTATGATTCCACCCATGGCAAATTCCACGGTACAGTCAAGGCTGAGAACGGGAAGCTTGTCATCAATGGAAAGTCCATCTCCATCTTCCAGGAGCGAGAGCCCGCCAACATCAAATGGGGTGATGCTGGTGCTGAGTATGTTGTGGAGTCCACTGGGGTCTTCACCACCATGGAGAAGGCTGCGGCCCACTTGAAGGGCGGGGCCAAGAGGGTCATCATCTCTGCTCCCTCTGCCGACGCCCCCATGTTCGTGATGGGTGTGAACCACGAGAAGTATGACAACTCCCTCAAGATTGTCAGCAATGCCTCCTGCCCCACCAATGGCTTGGCTCCTCTGGCCAAGGTCATCCATGACAACTTCGGCATTGTGGAGGGACTCATGACCACCGTCCATGCCATCACTGCCACCCAGAAGCCCGTGGACGGTCCCTCTGGGAAGCTGTTGCGCGACGGCCGAGGGGCTGCCCAGAACATCATCCCTGCTTCCACTGGTGCTGCCAAGGCTGTGGACAAGGTCATCCCTGAGCTGAACGGGAAGCTCACTGGCATGGCCTTCCGTGTCCCCACCCCCAACGTGTCCGTCGTGGATCTGACCTGCCGTCTGGAGAAAGCTGCCAAATATGATGACATCAAGAAGGTGGTGAAGCAGGCGTCAGAGGGCCCCCTCAAGGGCATCCTGGGGTACACTGAGGACCAGGTCGTCTCCTGCAACTTCAACAGTGACACCCACTCCTCCACCTTCGATGCCAGGGCTGGCATTGCTCTCAACGACCACTTTGTCAAGCTCATTTCCTGGTATGACAATGAATTCGGCAACCGGGTGGTGGATCTTATGGTCCACATGGCCTCCAAGGAGTAAGAGCCCCCTGGACCACCAGCCCCAGCGAGAGCAAGAGGGAGAGAGAGGCCCTCAGCTGCTGGGGAGTCCCTGCCCCAACTTATCCCGCAAAACACTGAGAATCTCCCGACCTCCACCGTTTCCATCCCAGACCCCCTGAAGAAGGGGAGGGGTTTGGGGAGCCCTACCTTGTCATGTACCATCAATAAAGTATACTGTACCCAGCCAAAAAAAAAAAAAAAAAAGACATGATGGTGGGGCGCCTGGGTGGCTCAGTCAGTTAAGCATCTGCCTTTGGCTCAGGTCATGATCTCAGGGTCCTGGAATTGAGCCCTGTGTCAGGTTCCCCACTTAGCGGGAAATCTGCTTCTCCCCCCCCGCCGCTCCCCCTTCCCCCCCATACTCTCTCTCTCTCTCAAATAAATAAATAAAATCTTAAAAAAAAAGATATGAAGGCTGATAATTTTCCAAAAATGAAGAGAACCTCAAATCACAGATTAAAAAGGGTTCACAAACTGCAGAATAAGTGAAGAGAAATGCATAACTAGGGACATCAGGGTAAAATAACTAAAAACCAAATTACTTAATTGTGAAATATTGGAAGCTTTATATTTGAGATCAGGTACAAGATAAGGTTACTGGTTAACACCAGTTCTATTTAGCATTGTACTTGAGTACCTTGCCAGTGCAGTAAGGCAAGGCAAATAAAAAGAAAATGTTGAGAAATAATTTGCAGATGATGTAATAGGTTATGTAAAAAAATCCCCAAAAATCTAAAGATAAATTATTCAAATTAATAAGAAAATCTAAAGATAAATTATTCAAATTAATAAGAAAATCTAAAGATAAATTATTCAAATTAATAAGAAAATTTAGCACACTCTTTTGGATATAAAATCAATATATAAAATTACCTTAGACATAATTTATAAATGAAAAAGATAACATTTATAATAGCATAAAATGTATGACTATTCAGGAATAAAGCTAATAAAGACATGCAAAAGCATTATGTAGAAATTTATAATAGTTTGAAAGACAGTGAAAGAAAAATATAAAAACAATAAAAATCTATGCTATGTTCATGGATTGGAACACATAATTTTTAAAAAAGATTTTATTTATTTATTTGTCAGAGAGAGAGAGCAAGAGAGCGAGCACAAGCAAGGAGAATGGCAGGCAAAGGGAGAAGCAGGCTCCCCGCTGAGTAAGAAGCCTGATGCAGGACTCGATCCCCCGCCCTAAGATCATGACCCAAGCCAAAGGCAGATGCTCAACTGACTGAGCCACCCAGGCGCCCCTGGAACACATTCTTTCTTTCCTTTAACCTTATTTTTAAAATTAAAAAAATTTTTTTAAGTAGGCTCCGTGCTGGAGCCCAATGTGGGGCTTGAACTCATGATCAAGAGTAGGACGCTTCACTGACTGAACCATCCAGGCCTCCCTCCTTTTAACTTTCTTAAATATAATTTTAAATTTATAAAAAGGCTACAAGACTAGTAGAAATAAATAGAAGGGAACATCTCCAACCTGATAAAGGGCATGAATGAAAAACCCATCGATAACATTATATTTAATAGTGAAAGACTGAAAATTTGCCCCCTAAGAACAGGAACAAGACAAAGATGTCTACTCTTGTCACTTCCAGTTAACAATGTACTGGACATTGTATGTAGCCAGGGAAATTATGCAAGAAAAAGAAATAAAAGCTATCCAGATTGGAAAGGAAGAAGCAAAACTATGTTAAACAGATGACATGATCTCATATAGAAAATCCTAAGGAATTCACTAAAAAATGATTAGAACTAATAAATGAGTTCAACAAGTTTGTGGAAATAAGGCCAATGTACAGAATGGCAAGGTATATTGTACAAGGTATATTGTACAATGGTATACTGTTGAAGGACATTAAGGAAGATCTAAATAAGTAGAAAGACATCCCATGTTCATGAATCAGATTATTAATATTAGGATGGCAACACTCTCCAAACTGATCTACAGACTCAGTGCAGTGCCAATCAAAATTCCAGCTGGTATTTTTGCAGGAACCCATAAGCCAATCCTAAAATTCACATGGAAATGCAAGGGATCCAGAATAGCCAAAACAATCTTGAGAAAGGAGAACAAAGTTGGAAGACTCACACTTCCCTATTTCAAAACTTAGTACAAAGCAACAGGAACCAAGACTGTGTGGTATTGGCATAAGGATAGCCTTATAAATTAGTGTAATAGCACTGAGAGTCCAGAAACAAACCTTGACATTTATGGTTAATTAATTTTTCAACGGGGGTGCCAAAACCATTCAGGGGGAGAAAGAACAGTCTTTTCAACAAAGGGTGCTGGGACAACTGGATATCTACATGCAAAGGAATGAAGTTGGACCCCTATCTTACACCACAGACAAAAAGTAACTCAAAATAGATCAGAGGCCTGAATGTAAGAACTAAGACTATGCAACTCTTAGAAGAAAAATAGATGTAAATCGTCATGACCTTGGATCAGGCAATGGTTTCTTAGATATGATGCCAGAAGCACAAGAGACAAAAGATAAACTAGATAAATCACTGCAAATGATACTACCAAAAAAGTGAAAAGACAATCCACAGAATGAGGGAAAGCATTTGGAAATCATATATCAGATATGGGACTTGTATCTAGAATATATAAAGAAGCCTTACAACTTCACAATAAAAAGATATATGACTCAATTCTAAAAACGGGCAAAGAATTTGAATAGGTGTTTCTCCACAGAAGACCTAATGAGCTAATGAGCACATGAAAAGATGCTCAACATCATTAGTTATTAGGGAAATGCAAACCAAAATCATCATGAGATACTACTCCACACCCACTAGAATGGCTGGAATCAAAAAGATGTACAAAACATATTGGTGAAGATAGAGAGAAATTGAGGTCCTCATACGTTGCTGATGGACATGCAAAGTGGTACAGCTGCTTTGGAAAAGCTTGTCAGTTTCTCAAAATGTTAAACATAAAGTGTCCATATGACCCAGCAATTTCACTCCTAGGGATAGTCCCAATAGATAAATTGTATGACATGTGAATTATATCTCAATTTAGCTGCTAAAAAAAGCATAGTAGATGGATTTCTTCTGTATCCTTCATACAGATTCCCCCAAATGTTGACATTTTACGATGTTTGTTCTATTCTCATTTCTATATATGTACACCCTCACACAGCCCCACATGCCCCCCCACACCCACACACTTATTTTCTGAATCTTTCAAATCAGTTGAGACATTATGCTCCTTGATCTCTAAAAACTTCAGTGTGTATTTCCTAAAAACAAGGAACATTCTCTTATTGAACCACAGTACAGTTACCGAAATCAGGAAATTAACATTGATACAATACTATAGTCTACAGACCTTATCCAGAGTTTGCCAATTGTACCAATAATGTTCTTCCCAGAAAAGGAGCATCTCTGATCATGCATTACATTCAGTTGTCATATCTCTTTGGTTTCCTGTAATCTGGAGCAGCTCTTTGGTCTTTGTGTTTTATGACATCGACGTTTTTCAAGGGCACAGGGCAGTTATTTTGTGGAGTGTCCATCTGTTTGGTTTTGCCTGATGTTTTCTTACCATTAGATTCAGGTTTTGCACAGAGAAGTGATGTGTGTGTGGTTTGTTCCATTACTGGTGATAGTACCTTTGGTCACTTGGTTAAAGTGGTGTCTGCCAGGTTTCTCCATTATCAGGTTGCTACTATTTTCCTTTTGTGGGGAGACATTTTGAGACTATTTAAATATCCTGTTCCTCATCGAACTTTCACCCACCACTTTTTTCATCCATTGATCATTTTTGCTTGAATCAATCATTACTATCATGGTTGCCAAATGGTGATTTTTCCAGTTCCATCATTCCTTCTACATTTATCATTTGGCTTTCTACTTTGAGGAAGAGCTTCTTTTCTCCCCATTAACTTATTTATTTATTTATTTTATTATTTTTTTTTAAAAGATTTTATTTATTTATTTCACAGAGAGAGACACAGCGAGAGAGGGAACACAAGCAGGGGGAGTGGGAGAGGGAGAAGCAGGCTTCCCGCCGAGCAGGGAGCCCGATGCGGGGCTCGATCCCAGGACCCTGGGATCATGACCTGAGCCGAAGGCAGACGCTTAACGACTGAGCCACCCAGGCGCCCTAACTTACTTATTTATATCAGCGGAGACTCATAGATTCCTTACCTTCTGGAAGAACAAGATGTTCTAAGCTCCTCCAGACTTTCCCTGTCCCCCATTCTTAGAACCAGCCATTTATCCGAGGATCCCTAGTTCAATTTGAATGAGTAATTGCACTTAGAAACCTTTTGGAAAATCACCACACACACACCCCATACATATATGTACACATATACACATTTATTAATAAATGTAGCAGTAAAATACATATATGTATGCACATTTCCATACATTTCTGTTTATCTATCTATCTATTTATCTATCTATATCATCCATCTCTGTGGGTTCATACTGACACCTCTAATTCCAGGTTCATTCTAGCCTTCTTCCCACTTGCTGATTTGTAACTTCTTTCTTTGTCGCTGAGAAAGCTGGCCCCCATCATCCACACTATATTATGTGTTTGTTCAACCCTAGAATACTCAGAAAGCAGTTTCAGAATTGTCATCCTGCATCTTTGCAAAAAAGGAAACTGTTCTCTCGAGTTCAATATTCGTTTCTTTTTCTTTTTTATCTTGAGGGCATATCATCCAAGGACACCATTCAAAAGTTACTTGGGTTAGTTCTTTTCTTCCCTTCAGGGTGGTTGTGGTATTGTTTGATGGATGGCTTCGTCCATTTGTTTCCATTTGTATTTCATTTTTGGATAATTCCCCGCAAACTTGTGATTTTATTTATTATAGGTAATTTGAAGCTCAGATGCTCTCTGTCTTCTAGTGATGCTGAGGCCATGGGTTTTGTGTGGTTTTATTTGTTCTTGCTTTTTTTTTTTTTAAAGATTTTATTTATTTATTTGACAGAGGAAGATGCAGCGAGAGAGGGAACACAAGCAGGGGGAGTGGGAGAGGGAGAAGCAGGCTTCCCGCCGAGCAGGGAGCCCGATGCGGGGCTGGATCCCAGGACCCTGGGATCATGACCTGAGCTGAAGGCAGATGCTTAACGACTGAGCCACCCAGGCGCCCCTGTTTTTTTTTTTTTTTAATTGATTTTTGTTTGGAAGCTATGT